TGACGGCTTTTCCGCTTTTTAAACCTAGTCCCTCTGTATGGCTTCCGAATACTGCTGCCTCCACCGCCACCCTGCGCCATGTGCCACTTTCAGGTCTCCTTACACTGTGGTGGGTTCCATTTTGTGATAGGGTGCTGTAAGGCCTTCCATTGCTGCTGCCTCCACCGCCACCCCTGCGCCATGTGCCTCTGTCGTCTGCTCACGCTGCTGACGGCTTCCGCTTTTTAACCGAGGCCTGTGTTTGGCTTCCGAATACTGCTGCATCCACTGCCACCCTGCGCCATGTGTCTCTGTCGTCTGCTCACACGGCTGCTGGCGGCTTCCGCTCTTTTTTAACCTAGGCCTGTGTATGGCCTTCAATTGAAGCTGCTTCTGCTCCGCCACTCTGCCATTGGACTCTTGATAGTCGTCCTCTCCCCACGCTGCTGCTGGGGGGGATTTTTTTTAACATAGGCCTCTGTATGGCCTTCAATTTTAGCTGCTTACGCTCCGCCACTCTGCCATGGGCCCCTGTACCGCTCCTCATGCTGCTTGCCAGGTCCAGAGTGTGTCATGGGTCCCTGTACGGCCTCCCATTGCTGCTGTCTCCATCGCCACACTCTGCCATGTGCCACTTTCAGGTCTCCTCACACTCCTGCTGGGTTCCATTTTGTCATAGGGTGCTGTATGGCCTCCCATTGCTGCTGCCTCCCACGCCACACTGTGGCCTCCACACTCTGGTTTTGGCCCCGTGACTGCCCAAATGAGTGAAGTGTGCGGGTGATTCTAAGATCGACGGCACTCATCTGCATGTCATACTGACTGACAGTATTATTTCTCTTCCCCAGCAGACTCCAAGGGCATTTAAATTAAAGGTACAGTGTTCTGCACTAATATAAAGGCTCTCTGAAGCCTAGAAACACCCTGTGTCTGCTGTTGTGAAGAAATATATATAATATTTGGGGGTTTTAAGTAATTTTAAGGTATAAATGGTTTTTAAAACATGTAAACCAAAAAATTTAAAATGTCTCCAGGACTCTCCATGGACCCCTTCATTCCACACAGTCTCCAGGAACCGGGAAACCACAGAGAAACCAAGTGTCCCCCGACTTCCTCTCCAGGCTGGGATGTCCCCCTGGTTGGGTGCCCCCTACAGTAGAAGAAGCAGACTGCACTGCCTACATCTTCTTTATGCTTTGTCTGATCAGGATGGCGGTCATTTCTCCCTGAACACGGAGCTCCCTAAACACGAGGTAAACGTGGTGCAGCATTGAGCCCCGTCCAGCTGTAGTGTAGACTTTGACAGGCTGCAGGCAGCGGGGGCTGGACGCTGTACCTGTGCCTACCAGGTGTATTATAATGCCAGCATTGCACCCACAGGGGCTGGACCCCCCATGTACAAGGGGCCTAAGAGATACCATCAGCTGGTGTCCCATTCCACCAGACCCCTATAACTGGAAGAGGACATGTTTGGGTGGATGTGTTGTAGAAGAACCCAGACCACGGTATTGTGCGGTGAAATTATAATTCAACTTTATTAAATGTGACACTTTAACAACAGAAGAAAAGAGATAAATTGTTGATCTATATTATACCATTTATATAATCTATTCTAAAAAACTGATTAACATATGACACACCCCTCATTAACACACAAGCCACGCCCACTTATGTATCCCTCTAAACATCCAAATCCCTGTAAATTCCCAGAAGACACTTTCATCTTTTATCCACAACAAGCTGATTGGGTACAAGAGAACCCCGAGCCCCTCCTGCTCATTCCCACACACAAGTCCATGTCACCATCTACAAGGTGAGAGGACCTGAAGGAGAACAAGACCATGACCACCAGGACCATCGCCTGACTGAAAGCCATGCTCACATTTCTTTCTAATGCTGCTTCTATGGTCTCCTCAGATATAGATTTGGCAGATGGACATTAGTGGAACCCTTTCACTTCCGGCCAATGTAAGGTTTCCATCAGCAGCAGCACAGTCTTATAGCTATAGCACCCGGGGGTTGTCTACATTTGTTATGCCAACTGTCAGATTTCTGGTGGAAGTGATTCAGCCGCACTGAAGGTCCTCCCCCCACCATGTATACCGGGCTCAACTGTCCTTCCTGCAAGCCCAAGACAGGCATGGTGGGTGTCAGTGGTGAGAGCAGTGCAGAGATCAGCAAACAAGGATCTCTGATCTCCCCTTGGTGAAACAGGACAGGAGGTGCAAACATCTCTGGATGAATGTGGGAGGTGCAGATTTCTGGGTTCAGTGCTGTCATTCTCCAGTCACTATGGTTTGGGAAGGAGCTGATTAGGCATGATCTGTGCTTGACCATCTTTTTTGGGGTACAGAGGTGACATTGGGGGTCTAATAATGTTCTGATGTCTCTTTAAAAGGAAATGTGACCAAAAATTTGTACCAACCCCCCTGATAGAAGATAATGCTAAGTGACAAAAGAGTTGAAAAAAATTAAAGTAACACTATAAAAATTAAAAACCCACAAAACAAATCACACGACACATTTTACATATCATTGCACAAGTGAGAGTGAGAACAATCATTCTGAGGCCATCGTTCACGGATAATCTTATCTGAACTGATAACCTTTAAAGGCTCTTAAATCTCTTCATCTTTGCTAATTTTTGGTACTGAAGCTTTGTCACCATTTCACAAGTAAGGCACATTCCCCGAAAGTGTTGACAAATTGTATGTTAGTGCAAATAAATAAACAAAAGTATCACAGACAGTACTCAATTGTTTCTATTGAGAAACCATGAAATGTTACTGGCCTGTGATTGTGCTCTCCTATTATGTTAGTGAAGTAAGTGAGACTCCCCTTGTTTGGTGTCAAATATGGAATTTCAGAAACCATGTGAAATGTTTCTTCCAAATCCAAAAAGGTGATCCCCTTGGGTAATTCCCATCCTAATATTCCTGATATGAATTTGTTTGGGGTCCCTGCTAATAAAAGGAAACATGTGGGCAATCTTTTTAAACTTTTAAAGAAAGGACAGTAAATATCAGAACACAATTCAAACAGAAGACCAACAGCAGGAAGTCTGCTAACTGAATGTGTAATGCAATCTGTCATTAGCATTCCCAGAGTTCCCTCTGCAACATAGTTGTATCACTGTTGGTCCTGTTGAAGATCTGTTATTTCCCACCTTCTGTAACAGGGTGACAACCCTGATCATTCTGCAGGAACATTACACAGCAGCGTTGTCACCCTGTACAGGGAAGTCTTAGATAGATTAGAAGTAAGACACACAACAAGTAAAGTCCAACTTCAGCTAACGCTTCTACAGCAGTTACAGCAACAGGATTTCTATAAGGTTCAACCCCCCATATGAATGGAAGATGACAGTTGTAAGCACCCCCAGCAGTGTTATATGGTGTTTCCCCAAGAGAATTTCAGCTGCCAAGCAGTTCTGTGAATGAACCGAAAAAAAACCTACACTGGTAGCCACTTTGCTAAGTTCAGATCTCTTGCAGTTGTAACATTTATGTGTCATATTGATTTATCTGATCCATGAGCTCCAGTACACAGTGCTTTCAACTTACTTATCTTACATTCCCCAATGAAGGGCTTCACCTGATAAAGCAACTCCCTTTGAGTTCAGAATCCAGATTAAAATAGTTTATTCTCACTGAAAAAAAAAGGCCAGGGGAGTATTGGGAGATAGGTGGCTTACTGTTACATGAAATATGAGGGGCCAGCTGGGCCATAACCTAACAGTCCCATTAAAACAGCATCCTAACTCCGTGTTGGAATGAGGCCTACAGCAGCTTAAGAAGTTACTCTCTAACCAAACAGAGACCTCTATCTGGCTGGTATCTCAGCTACAGACCTGCCTGCAAAGATGTCATCCATGAGAGGAGATGGAACATGGAAAGGAGGCATTGATCATGGGGAGAGGAGGTGGAACATGTAATGGGAGGTGGGGACAAGGTGGGCTTAGCTGGAGCCCTCAAGCCTAGCTTATGATGTATAATTCTCAAAAGAACCTGGAATGGACTCTCCTAATGAGGTTTCAGAGGCTTGGCAAGAAGCCATTGGACCCCATCCTAGTAGACTCTGGTACTGAGGCACATGTTGGTCATGTATTGGTTGGTCAGATTCTGGCAATGAAGAAAACAGTGGGAACATAGCTCAGTTAGTGAATGATGAAAATGCATTACATGTTCAGTCAATGCTCCATAAAAAAGGATAAAGATGAGAATGATGAGGAATACAGTTCAGTCATTGCTGCTTTGTCTGAAAAATGTCCAAAGGTAAAATATTCACAGGCCTTCTAGGTGTGTTTCTGATGGACATAAGCACTAAACCCAATGAATCCGATCATTAGAGTCCTGTTTGTTCAAAGTTTTTTTTTTTTTTTTTAAGTAGCATCATGTCTTCCCTAGTTTGTGGGAAGACATTGGGCCTGTGAGCCTAATGGGACAGCTGTGACTTCTTTAATATTCCCTTCTTCTGGAGTTTCCTTCTATGCAGCTCAAGCTTGTGAATCCTCTGGTGATAGATTAGCCCTGGCATTACCTGTAAAAGCTTTGTCACATTCTGAACATTGATATGGCTTCTCTCCAGTGTGGATCCTCTGGTGTGCTGATAAGATCTGACTTCTGTGTAAAAGCTTTGTCACATTCAGAACACTGATATGGTTTCTCTCCAGTGTGATCCTCTGGTGTATGATAAGATATGACTTCTGTGTAAAAGCTTTGTCACATTCAGAACACTGATATGGCTTCTCTCCAGTGTGAATCCTCTGGTGTATGATAAGATATGACTTCTGTGTAAAAGCTTTGTCACATTCAGAACACACTGATATGACTTCTCTCCAGTGTGAATCCTCCTCTGGTGTATGATAATATACTTCTCTCCTGACTTTCTTTGACTTAAAAAAGCTTTGTCACATTCAGAACACTGATATGACTTCTCTCCAGTGTGAATCCTCTGGTGTCTGATAAGATCTGACTTCTGTGTAAAAGCTTTGTCACATTCAGAACACTGATATGGCTTCTCTCCAGTGTGAATCCTCTGGTGTATGATAAGATATGACTTATGTGTAAAAGCTTTGTCACATTCAGAACATTGATATGGCTTCTCTCCAGTGTGAATCCTCTGGTGTATGATAAGATGTGACTTCCTGTGTAAAAAGCTTTGTCACATTCAGAACACTGATATGACTTCTCTCCAGTGTGAATCCTCTCTGGTGTATGATAAGATTGACTTATGTGTAAAAGCTTTGTCACATTCAGAACACTGATATGACTTCTCTCCAGTGTGAATCCTCTGGTGTAATGATAAGATGTGACTTTGTGTAAAGCTTTGTCACATTCAGAACACTGATATGGCTTCTCTCCAGTGTGAATCCTCTGGTGTATGATAAGATGTGACTTCTGTGTAAAAGCTTTGTCACATTCAGAACACTGATATGACTTCTCTCCAGTGTGAATCCTCTGGTGTATGATAAGATGTGACTTCCTTGTAAAAGCTTTGTCACATTCAGAACACTGATATGACTTCTCTCCAGTGTGAATCCTCTGGTGTCTGATAAAGATGTGACTTCCATGTAAAAGCTTTGTCACATTCAGACACACTGATATGGCTTCTCTCCAGTGTGAACCTTCTGGTGTGTGATATGTTTTGCCTCCATTGTAAAATCTTTGTCACGTTCCAAACAAGAAATAGCTTGAAATGACTCCTCTTATGTATACATGGGTTGGACTTTACTGTAAAGCAATTGTCACTTCCAGAACACTGAAATGACTTTTCTCATGTTGTCCTCTGAGGTTGGATCAGTGTTTGAAGAGGACCAAAGCACTTATGACATTTAGAACACGGATATGACTTGTGTCCTGTGTGACTCCTCCAGTGAACTGCAATAAAAACTTTCAGTCAATTACAACACCCAGATGTTTGGTTTTTCCCATGTGACTGAGTTGTATTCACAAACACCAGCATGACCGAAAACGTGGTTCATCAATCCACCTGTACAAAAAAAAAAAAAAAAATAAAAATCAGAATTTATATATAAAAGGGCTAAAGTTGGTTTTTATTTTTAATGATCATTAATAAATATATCTTATATATCATCGCAGGCTGTGTCAGCATTATGGTTGTCCTCAAAGGGCCAGTTGTAACTGTAAGACTAGATGTCCAGAGCACCTCACCCCCCCCATTACATCAGATGCCAAGAACCCCACACCCACCCTAACATCACCGTGCACCTCCTTTGGGGGCAGAGCTGGAAAGCAGAAAGTGCAGGGTCTGGAGGAGGACCAGAGGAGGAGGAGTCAATTACCAGAGTCTGCTGAATGCTGAGACCAAGGGAGGTGGATGATGGGGATAACTTGATGCTGCAGCTGCACTGAGAGGTGCAGGATTTGGCAGAGGAGTTCCATTTTCTCTCCTCTCTGCTGCCGACTGCTGAGACAAGGTGGGGGGGGAGACAAGGGGGTACCTGCAGGAGAGGTGCAAGGGCTACATGAAATAACCTAGAGGGCAGGATCTGGATACAGGTGTTTGACACCTGTGTTATATATATAGAAAGCATATGTACATCATCATTTTGTATTATATATGTATATATATATATATATATATATATATTATATTTTTTTAATTAAAAATTAAATTGTATTATTTAATTTTTTTTAAGTGCACACAGTATATCCAACATCCAGCCCAGACAATGGAGTCATACATTCTCATGTATAAGCAGTTGTGGCAATGTTACAGATCATACAGAACAATAACTTGCTTTGTCTCTGGTGTCACTTTTACTTTCTATAAAAAAAAATGAAAAGAGAAAAAAGAAGCAACGTAGAACAATTCACCTGTACATGGCAAGTAACTCTCTCCAGTACATACATAGATAGCTGACTCCGTTCAAGTAGGCCTGTGTCTACAGGATCATACACCAAGTATCGGCCTCCAATGTAGTCACCATTTAGTAGGGTACAGTTGGGCCGGGTCCATTTTTAGGGGCCTAAAAAAGTTAAACCTATAAAAACCTATGACAAATGAAGTATGGGGAGTGAGTACCGGAGTATCCAGCCAGTTCTGCCAGAGAGCCATAAGTCTCCTAGGAGAAGTTAGGTTTTCATGTATTATTATGGGGTTCACCTGCTCAATCCATGCCTGGTGGGAGTATGAGTTGATAACCAGAATGCTTGGATTCGATTTGCAGGTTCGTTCAGAAAGTACATCTAAGGATCCAAAAATTACAAGCTTAATCTCAGCTAGGGAGAGACTTTGTTCAATTAAAAGAAAAACTTCAAAACAAGTGAGAAAATGTAAATGAGAAGCTGAGAGAAGAGCTAAAAACACTAAAAATACCCCCAAAGATCTATCCTAGAAATTCAGTCTAAAATGTAACAATTACACCAAGAAAACCCTCAACTGAGGGAAGAGATAATGACACCAAAGATACAAATGGAGCTCAACAATCAGGAAAGAGAATCAAAGAGGATGATTTATACAAAGTACCCATCAAGGAACAACAGACCGGTGAGACCAATCAGCTTCCGAAATGTAACAAAGACCAGCAATAGCCAAGACAACTCTACTAATCCTGAGACCACAAATAGTGATGGCCGAACACCCCCCTGTTCAGGTCGCGGTCAAACATCCGAACCTACAGAATGTTCTACAGTGAATGTCGAACACGAAGGAACTGAGAGGTGTCTTACCGCATCTGAGTATGAAGATACCGCTCAGTTACTAATATCCGGCATGAGTTATATGATGAAGTCACGCGGTATTTTAGTAGTGAGACATTCATTCATGTTCCTGGTGTCAGTGGGGTTCCCCGCTGACAGCTGAATGTCAAAAGAATTGTCAGCATTGCCCACAATAAAAAAAAAAAAAAAAACAAGCCCATCGAGACTGGTATGGATTTTGAGAGGAACCTTCCATGACAATTTTTTTTTTAACCATGACAAATTTTTCCATACCGGGCACTTTTACCCCCTTCCTGCCCCCAGGCCAATTTTCAGGTTCAGCGCTCTCACACTTTGAATGACAATTGCGCGGTCATACAACATTGTACCCAAACTAAAATGTTATCATTTTTCTTCACACAACTAGAGCTTTCTTTTGGTGGTATTTAATCACTGCTGCAGTTTTTATTTTTTTGCTAAATTAACGAAAAAAAGACCAAAAATTTTTGAAAAAACACATTTTTCTTTGTTTCTGTTATAAAAGTTTGCAAATAAATAATTGTTCTTCATAAATTTAGGCCGAGATGTATTCTGCTACATGTCTTGGTGGTGAAAATAACCCAAATTAGGATGTATTTTTTAGTTTGTAGGAAAGTTATAGAGTTCACAAACTATGGTATAGATCTGAATATTGATCAATCCTGAAGTACTGACAGCCAATCTAATTTCTTGAGGACCAAGAATGTCAGAACAGAACAGTACAGATATCCCCCAAATGTCAGGACGGTACAGATATCCCCCAAATGTCAGGACAGTACAGATATCCCCCAAATGTCAGGACAGTACAGATATCCCCCAAAATGTCAGGACAGTACAGATATCCCCCAAATGTCAAATGTCAGGACAGTACAGATATCCCCCAAATGTCAGGACAGTACAGATATCCCCCAAATGTCAGGACAGTACAGATATCCCCCAAACAGTCAGGACAGTACAGATATCCCCCAAATGTCAGGACATGGTACAGATATCCCCCAAATGTCAGGACAGTACAGATATCCCCAAATGTCAGGACAGTACAGATATCCCCCAAATGTCAGGAACAGTACAGATATCCCCCAAATGTCAGGACAGTTACAGATATCCCCCCAAAGTCATGTCAGGACAGTACAGATATCCCCCAAATGTCAGGACAGTACAGATATCCCCCAAATGTCAGGACGGTACAGATATCCCCCAAATGTCAGGACGGTACAGATATCCCCAAATGTCAGGACAGTACAGATATCCCCCAGGACATGTCAGGACGGGACAGATATCCCCCAAATGTCAGGACAGTACAGATAGTCAGGACAGACAGATATCCCCCAAATGTCAGGACAGTACAGATATCCCCCCAGGACAGTACAGATATCCCCTTTTTGCAGAGTAGACAGTCCACGTACTTCATCAAAAATACAGGTGAGTTTTTTGAAGTTGTATTTTTTTTGTCCCAATTTTTCGGAAAATGAAAAAATTAAAAAAAAAATGATTTTCACTATTTTTTTACCCATACTGTCACCAGTGCAGTACAGCGTCATCATATAACTGGCATGGCGGTGATCAGGGACACTGACTGGTGACAGTATGAAAAAAAAAAATATATATATATATATTTTTTTATTATTTTTTTTTTTTACATTTTTTTCCTCTTTTAATTATTTTTTTTTTTATATTTCACTATGTCCAAAGTAGTATAATGTTACCATAGTACACATATGTACTACTTTGGGGAAGTGATCATATTTTTTTTTTTTTTTACACAATTTGCTTATAGCAAAGAATTACTTTGCTATAAGCAAGCATTTACCTGAATGACATCGATTCATTCAGGGTTTTTTTTTTTTTTGTGCTTAGCTGTGATTTGGCCACAGCTAATCACATGACATGTGCATGTGATCGCTGTGACCATTCACAGCTAGACACACTAGTATACAATGGATGGCATGAATGAAGCCATCCATTGTATACAACTGTCATGTGACCTGCTGTGATTGGTCACAGCAGGTCACATGGTACCAGCAACGGGGGCTGGGGCTGGTACACAGATCTGTCATCGGCCATGTTCGAGGTACACGGCCGGTGACAGATCGCGCTGCTGCGCGCTCTGCAAGTGAAAAAAAACTGTGCATGTGTGGGAGGACGCCATATGGCTTCCACCTGGAAATCTACAGCCTTTTCCTGGCCACCAAACGGCTATTGGCCGGATGGCTATTGGTTAAAAATGGCATGGGGGTCCCCCCAAAATCCATACCAGACCCTTATCTGAGTATGCAGCCCGGCAGGTCAGGAAGGGGTGGTGAGCGCCCCCCTTCCTGAACCCACCACCAGGACACATGCCCTCAACATGGGGGGGTGCTTGGGTCGGGAGCCCCCCAAAGCACCTTGTCCACATATTGATGGGGACAAGGGCCTCTTTCCCACAACACAACCGTGTCCTGTGGTTGTGGGGGTCTGCAGCCTGGGGGCTTATTGGAATCTGAAAGCCCCCTTTAAACAAAGGGGACCCCAAGATCCCAGCCCCCCCCCCTATGTGAATGAGTTGGCGGTATATGATACTGCTACCCATTCACAAAAAAAAAGTGTAGTGTAAAAAGTGATAGGACAAAGTCTTTTGACAAGTCCTTTATTAAAAATAAACATTTAAAAAAAATGTCCCCCAAAGTAGATCCAACATCAATCACGATCCTGCCACCACCGCTACCCAAAAAAGGGGAAAAAAAAAAGCTCCGCTTGCGACACTGGCTCCTGGCTGTCTGACAGCTGGGGCCATGACAACAGTTTTTATATACCCCCCCCTTGTGACATCACCACACACTGTGATTGGTCAAAGTATTACACCTGACTTGTGGTTAGGTGCATTGCTTTG